ATGAGCCTCCACATGAACTCTCCACTGTATTTGGTAGAAAAGCAGAGAAATATGCTACCCCTTCAACACTTGTTCAAAGACTTTTCTCCCTGCCTGTTCCTTCTCCAGCTTTTAGCTCTTAGTGTGCTTTGAGGTTTTGGTACCAGGCAAAGCATTGGGCTACTTGTGGGGAGAGATACAGCGTTTGCTGTATTAGGACAGCAGTCTTTAAGGTGGTCAGAAAATACTTGAGCATTACCCTGGGATGCTTTAATAAAGACCCTGGCAATTCAGGAACAAACATGGGCAAAGCATTTGCAGCAAGGAGGGAAATGGGTAAGAGGGGGAATGGACAGTATTGTGGGTAATTACACTGTCACTTTCTTAAATGTCCTAGGATAAGAAATGGTGCATTTGTATTTTTCCCTGTGGTTTGCGGCATCTTCTACTCAGTCACAAACTGTCTCAGAAAATACTGTTTGCAAAAGCGTGTTTTTAAGGGATAAAGAGAATGGCACAAAGACTGGGACAGGAGCAGGTATATTTGTGGCTATACATGCAGGGGGGAAATGGGAGATTACAAGGGAATGGGTATTGTGATAAACAGTTGTCCCAGACTATGTAAAAGGAGAAGTCAGGAATTCCTATGCTGTGATGTAATCATTTTTGTAAGCTTTTCAAGGAAACAAAAATGTACAAAGTTCACAGTATCACTGAACTTATTAAATGCAAAAGTAACTGTGTTCGTTCCCATAATCAGCATTCATAAACCAGTATTTTCTCTCTAAACTTTGCTGGCAAGACTGATGTCTCCAGAGAGAATATGAGGAAGCAAACACAGCAACATTAGTATCATGTCTCTTTAGAAAGCCTGGACCAAGCAAGATGCAGGTCTTGCAAACAAAAACCCCATAAACCCCACCATGTTTTACACGAGCAGCTCTTGGGACTACAGAATGACCTCTTTAGCAGAATGTTTAAGGCAAGCTTAGGGATTTTGTACCAGGATTTTCATTCTCTTGAGTTCTCCAGGGTTTGCTAAAATCAGGAGACAGAAATATGAATGAATGAATGGATTTGACAAACGGCTGCTGTCTCAATTCCAGTTGTGATTGACTGTTCCTAAAGGCATAAGTGCAGTTGTCCCATCTGTTCCTGTCTCTCTCCTGTGAAGTGTTTAAGGTACATATGAAAATGAAAACCGAAAGTACTTGAGGCTGCTGGGCTTGGTTTGAACCCTTTGGATGAGAGGCTGCCTCTGCTGTGGAGTGTCAGCTTTTGAGAGCAGTCAAGCACCAAGCAGCAGCCTCAGTTTTTAATTTCTTTGCCTTTGTAGGTTTCAGACAGACTCCAACCAGATGTCTGTGTTAATGAAGCACTAAGTACATTATGTAATTATGAGGTTCTGAATATAATTGCTGTGTATGCTGCATAATTTAAGTTCCAACTGTACTTGCATCTCTCATTTACCAAGCCAGTGAAGGATATAATAATATTGAACACAATAACAGCTCACAGTGTAGTCATAGAGGTTGCATTTAATGAGCTTGTTTGTGATTCTTATAAAGAGATCCTCTCATGGCAGATAAAATCACAGTAGCCAAAGGTTAAGGTTATCTGTAAGATGAATCTTTTCCTTGCAAGTCTGGATATAATGCCCTGAGTGAGGAAATATCTGATACGAAACTTGTAGTCTGAGACTGGAGATCTGCCAGCTCTTGCAGAGTGAGTTCTCCAACATACAGTGCATTATGGCAGGAGAGAACAGGGGTGCTCTTGGGTGTAAAAAGGAGCTTGCCGTCTTGTTTTGTCCGTTTGTGAGGTGGTTGGGCATGAGCAGAGACCCGTGAATCTGAGGAGACAAGGGCTTGGATAAAATAGTTTTTTTGATGGTGGGATCTTGCATACATGGTAGGCTTTACACACGCTAGGCAAGGGCAGATGTACTGTTCTCAGAGGTTTCTTGTTTTTTGAGTTGGCTGGCTTCCTGGCCATGCAGTTTGGTAGAACTGTAAAGTTTATTTCTGCTCTATGGTGGAGATGCAGTGAAATACTTTTCCTTGGTAAAACCTGAGCCTTCTGACTGCGGAATGCTTGGTAGGCTATGGGGTACATGGGTGGTAGACGTAAAATTCCCATGTTTCTCATTCCAATTATTATGAGAAGGATGGAGCATGGTTTTGAGCTGAGGCTCCTTGCCTCTCAGTCACTGAGGTTCTGTAGATACTGCTTAATTCCCCCATGCTCCCATTTTGATAAAACAAAATGCAGCTTTCATGAGGCAATCGTTTTAGCCAAAAGTTGTTAAACTGAAGTCCTGTTCCGTCTTTACAGGTTGCTAGTTTTGCATCTCACTGTTAGCACAAGATGCAGGCTGAAGCACATGGCCTTTTCCACAGGCTCAACTCTGCAGCTATCTAGTGGGCTATGATTAAAAAAGTCAACTTTTCTTTCCATTCATACTCTTGTAGCTTTTACTGCAGAGATCTTACTTCAAGACTTGGCAGCAGCAGCCTGCTATCAGACTTATTAAACACAATCTCTGAATGCTGCTATTAGTGTCATTTTCCTTGGCAGTTGTTCTTGCCACTTCCACCCTTCCTTGCTAGCTCCTTGTCTTTCTCCAGCTCAGATTCGGCATCCCATTTCATTATTTACTTTATACATCATTATGTCTAGGTCTGCACTAGTAGTTAGTTGTGGGAAGGTAAATTAATAACAAATATTGAAGTACCATGATGTATAAGAAGGTTCATCAGAGCATACATGTTTGTTAACAATGTTTAATACTTTGAATGAGTTACTGATTTCATTGAATCAGTGAAAACACTGGGGTTCCTATTGAGAAGTGAAAGAGAGCAGTATGAATGAAACTCATCCTGAACGGAATGGACTGACCTGATTTATGTTTGAACTGACTTAAGCTTATGTGAAGGCCAAGTGCTCTGACTCCTCATTGGTGCTTGAGCTGGAGGAGAGCAGTGAGTCTACTTCAGTTTTGTTTGAAAGGGTTAACATCAGTGCTTTAACCTAGGTTCTCTTTTTTAGAACCTGTCAGGTTTTGAGTTTCAGTTTTCAAGATCTAAGGAGAACTTGAAAATTGGAGAGCGTTTATGTCCAGAGAAGGCAATTCTGCATAGGTTTTGTGAGAAATCTTGATCCTAACTTGATTTTAGTAAAGACGGGGTTGGAATTTAGAGTTTCTGATGAAATCTCAAGCCATACAGGTTTCATATAATTTAAGTATAAAAAAAATTCAAGTATAAAAGTATTTTCATTCATCAATCTAAGGAGTTAATATGTATTTAAATACATATGCCCACTGCTCTTTGCTTGATTTGAGTATTACAGATTTTAAAGAAACCTAAAAAACCCACAGGTGTTTAAATCTGCCAAGTGATCCTTCATGAAAAGAAATATCTTTCTCTTTAAGTGTGATTTTTATCTGTTGTTTGGAGTCACTTTGGAGAAAAGCCTATTACATTGCAGGGCACAGCACTGGTTGTCCTTAGCATTTGTCAGAGTAGCAGCAAACTGAGATAGACAGCTTTGTGCTGAGCAGTGTACCAATATCCATAAGCATACTGTGTGGAAGGAAGGAAGTCTTTTCCCTGTTTTGTTGTTGGGGCAAAAGTGAATTGCTAAAGGGTATCCAGTACATTTCTGGCAGAATTCAGATTGCTTAAATCCCTCCAGTCCTTTAGCTACAGAACATCCTTTTCCCCTATTTTTTGTACAGTAGAAGTAGCTCTCTCAACATGTGCTTTATAGACTAAATGCAAACAGATGTTAATAGCTTATGATTGAATTTCCTTCTATGTATGTCTGTGCTGATTTTAGTGTGATTAAACATTTCTAAGATAACACAGTTGTCTTTGTCCCTTCCAAATGTGATGAGCAAAACATTTCTCTGAATAATCAGTTTCATTCCCCATTCTTGCCTTGTGTAGAATTTATATTCTTCAAATCCTTCTTTAGCTGCAGACGTCTGAATTTCTTAGCTGCAGATTCTTTCTTGATTTTCATAAGACATTTCCAGCTTGATTATGGTTATTTTTTCAGAAGAGAAATTGAGAAGGAGGGAACATCAGTTCTGTGGAGATGGTGCCTTCTGGCACTTCAAACACTGCCTCTCCAGGGCATGATGAAGAAAGCAAAGCTCACACAAAGGAAAACAAAGCAGTGTCCCCTGCTTTCCCATTGAAGAGTCAGTAACAGCTGTCTCAGCTTGAAAGGTTCCCACCACTGACAATGCTGCAGCTTGCAGGGTTACTGTTATTTGAGTTAGCCCTCTGACTTCCAAGTGTTTCCCTCTTAGGAGATTGGACTGGAATATCTTACTTTAGGAGCCACAGTGAGGAAACTTGTCTTGGCAACTGGCAGCCACGTGTCTTTTAAACTTTAATAACTTCACTATTTGGTACAGTGGGAAATTCTTTGTCCTCGGAGTGCCGTGAGAAAACTGCACTTACTCAGGTTACCTTTCTGTTACATTACTGAATTATCAAGAGAAGTGCAGAAATGTGAATAAACAATTCTCTTATTTGAAAATCGGTTCCTGGAGGCCAGTTCTGCATTTCCAAAGGGTTATCAACCCTTTCAGTTCTTTTCTGAGAGATTATTCTTAAGGGAAGTACTTAAATGCATGCGTGTCCTTTCTGGCCATCCAGTGGTATCTTGCAGACTTGAATGCCTTAAGCATTACCCAGCGAAGGAGTGGTAATTTGAACCTTTTGGGGCAGATCTTACTCATTTAAACGCAAACTGCTTTTTGGAGATAGTAACATCTGTCCTCCCTTCTTGTCAGACATTGCTTGGCTTTGCTAAATTTCAGACACAGCAGGAGGCCACCTTGTTGTGCTATAGTGACTGCAGGATTCTGACAGTCCTCACTGCTGGAGCAAAACCAAGCTGGTATGGTTAGCAGTGTTGCTCAAGGGTTGTATATGAATGGCTTATTTGGGACCCTGTGATTATATGAAAGTTTTAAGAGACTTTTTGTTATCTTCTTTTCCCTGCAGTGGCCAGTTTGCCATAGTGAAGAAATGTCGAGACAAGAGCACGGGGCTGGAGTACGCTGCTAAGTTCATTAAGAAACGCCAGAGCCGGGCCAGCCGCCGTGGAGTGAGGCGTGAGGAAATTGAGCGAGAGGTCTCCATCCTGCAGCAGATCCTGCATGCCAACATCATCAAGTTGCATGACATCTATGAGAACAAGACGGATGTGGTCCTCATCCTTGAGCTGTGAGTAAGGGGACTTCCTGTCCTCTGGGGTAGTATGAGGTAAATAGGAAGCGGAAAGGGCTGCAGAGGTAGAACAGAGGCGCTGTTAAAATGGAGCTGTTGTGTTCTCAGGCCTCGCAGATCCTGGCAGGAGAATTGCATGAGGTTCCTGGTAAACAGGCCCCCCAGTTCATCCATGTGCCTTGGCGATACAGGTGCACCTTCACATCAGCTGAGGCTGTTGTTACTGAGCCAGGGAGTGCTGTCAGCCTGAAACAGTTTACTCACAGAGGGATTACCTCATGTCTGCCTAGTGCTGCCCTGATGTGAACCTTGGAGGAAGCACGAATGGACTCAGAATGTTGATTTCAGTTTTCTGTCTGCTTTCATCTCTTCCAATACATGTGAAGGCGTCAAGTTCTTTGCCCTGTTTGCAGCCGTTCTCTGTACTCCCATATTTTCCTCATTTAGAGGAGACTAGGGGAAAAAAGGGAAGGAGGGCAAGGGAAGAGGTTTATTTAAATCCCTAGACTTTGACTATTGAGGATGAATAGTGGCAGGGTGGGAGCGAAGGAAAGCTGCTTACTCTTCTTTTGTGCCACCATGTGATGGAGGAAAACCCCTGCCATTTGGGACTGGGTCTCTTTATAACCAGACTTACACTGGGGTAGTGAATTGGCACTTGACTTGTTGCCATTCCAGGTGTTTCATGGCTGAGGATTAGGAATGCAACGGAAGTGAGAGGCTGTGTGCATGGATGGTCATACAAACCTGTGTTCAAAACCTGTCTTTCTGTACAGTTCACAGTGTGTTTTGTTGGTCTGCCATAAGGAATGTAAATTCTTAGTGCACATGCAAATTTACATCTGTGTGTATTTGTGTGGCTCAGCCTTCCTAATCTCCACAGAGAACCAGGGAAAGCCTGAACACTGTCACACAAAGCAGAGCAGGGTACAATTGTGCTTGTACTCCTCAGAGCCAGGAATGGAAGTAGCTGTTACAGTAAATGGAGCTTTGCTGGTGAGAATGTGTGGTCTTGGCCTAAGGGGATGAAGTTTGTCATGTAATGAAGGAAGACACATCAATTTAAGGTTTTTTGGGCTCTGTCCTGCTCTTTGGTGGAACCAGTATCACCTGGTTCACAAAGCTCTGAGTCTTAGAGGACCTGTGCAGATGATGACATATCCTCTATCTGTCAGTTCATGGTACTAATGGAAAGCTGTAAGCAAGGAGGCAGCCTGAGGTCTTCTACTTGCTGCAATTTTTGGGTAATGAGTAAATGATGCAAGTTATCTATATGTATGAAGCACGAAATACAGAGACACTGTGGCTGAAGGTACATAGATCCTCTGTTCCTTTGGGCCCCTGCGTGGCCTTGAAAATGGAATCTAGGCTATGAGGCTTTGATCCCTGAGTGAGATGAAACAACCACTTGCTTTCCAGGGGAGCAGGAATTTAGGCCAGGGAGCATTCCTGGAGATTACTGTGACTACTGGCAGATGGCATATGAGTGATGATAAGCATCTGTTAATTTTTAAGTATAGTCTGGGGCCAAATGGTGGTCTCTGTAGCCATGCACTGGAAGACAGAGGGGTTTTTCTGACTGGCAGCTACTTCGTGCTAAAACAACCTCCCGGTTCATTACCTTCTGCTTTTTCTTGTCCTCACATGGCCTGACACATTTTGCGTGTCCTGTTGTTAGGCTGTAGCTTATTGCTCTTTTTAAAAGGCAGGGTGCAATTTGACCTGATTAAGACCCCTGCATTCAGCTGCTGTGTACAAATTGAGGATTATGATAATTGCTAATAAAGATAATTAAATTCTCTCTGTAAATAGATAATCTCTCCTCCTGATGCTCTGCTATCAGAGTCTCATACTCCCTGCGGTTCATTGAAATAAGCATTACAGCCCCTGGCCAACTGGCCTTATGTTAAGCTGCAGTGGACTTCAGCTTCAAAAGAATGTCTCCAGTATTCTTGATTAATTGAAGAAGCTACCCTGGTGTTTGAAAGAGGCTTTGGCTAAAATGACCCTTTCCCAAGCTCACTGTCTCCTCTTTAGACAGGGTTTGATTCTACAGGTGCTGTTTCTTCTGTTCAAGAGCCGGAAGAGCATTGCCAAGCCCACTGCTGTTAAGTGCAGTTTGGCAGGTACACGGTTTGCCCTTCCTTGTGCACATTGCTCAGGGATATGCTCCCCACAGCTTTTTGTGACTTTGCTGTTCTCTGTCTCTTGGGCTCTGCCTTGAGGCTGCTTTGCCCAGACAAAAGCAGCCTGAAGGTGTGTTTGAGTGATGCACCAGTCTCCTCTACTGGTGACTGTCAAGGTTGTGTACACAAAATAAGCAGCTGTTTCCAAGAAGTAAGGCAGCATTGTCACTTGTCTTTTATTGGGGTTTGAAGGAAGAGCAAAGGTATAATGTGCTTGCTGCTTTGTTTGCCATGGGAATAAGGTGACATAATAAAAGGGAAAGAGATTGAATTAGAGGAAGGAATTTATTTTGTAACCTAAGGTCCTTTGAGAAAGGAGCATTTACTCCTTTACAGATGGTGCTGATTTGGAAAACACGCATCCCTGCATGTTCAAATGTAACTTTTAGTGCAGTTATGAGGGTTTTACTGCAAGGGAGTTGGCATTCAGCTGCCTTTTGAGGTGATTCTGTAATGGTTGGCTTTAGGAATTGCCAAGTCTCTTCTGCCTGCAGTTTCTCTGAGTTCAGGTGAATAACTTGGATGAGAATGATCCTGCGCTAAACTGCTCACCACTCCCTGTGCACAATTTACTCAAAACCTATTCTAAATGCTGAGTCTTTGTTAATGAGAAATCATCACATCTCTTTGAATTTTCCTTTAAATTACTCTTTTAAGGTCTCTGCAGCTTAGACTAATGTCTTAGGCTGTGTCATAAGAGACTGGAGATTGATGTACCATTTGTAATGCATGCCAGTCTCTGACCTTCAGAAAATGAAATGCTCCTGTGGTGGTTGTAAGAAGAAGTCTTTTGCTGGTAAAGGCAGGGGGACTTCAGGCGCTTGAAACTTCTTTTGTTTCCTTTTTTATTTTGATGTTGTATTCTGTACCTTGGAAATTTCTCCCTGTCTAGCCTGATTCAGGGTTAGTGTAAACTAGAGAGAAGAGGGAAAGTACAGCCAGGAGCTAGCAAGTGAATCTCCTGTGATCCTTGTTCTTACAGGCTGTACGGTGTCTTCAGTGGCGTAGCTGGTTGCCCAGGATGTTGCTGGGGAGCTGGAGGCTGGGCTACATGGGCTGTTGGTCTGGTCGAGAGAGAGCTGTTCTATTTTTAGTCCTGATTGAAGAGTCCGCCTTGAAGAACAGCCTCTGAGGAGGTTTGACAGGGTAAAAGAGGAAGAGAGAGTTATGTGCTTACATGGTTGAATTCCAGAAAAGTACCAGAAAGTGTCCTAGTGCAGCTGGCTTCCTGGTGACAGGGCCCTAGTGCCTGCCAGAGGTGAGTGCTTAAGTGAGATTTGAATAGAAGTCAGTAAGGAAAGTACTTGCCTCTTCTCTGTACACAGATTCCATGAAGCTCTTTACTTGAAGATTTCTTTACTGGCTTGCTACAGCTGTAATAATTTGTAAACTAATGAACCAAGGCCCCTAAACCTGTTACGATGTGGAAAGGAGGCAGTGTTCCCTGGCTCCTGAAATGCACAGGGTAAAACACAACCTGTCCAGCGAGGCTGATGGTAGCACTGAGACCCTTGGTTTGTGTTACCTGAAAACAAGAGACCAAAGGAGAGTCTCACAGGCTGAGTAAGGAGGGAGAAGGCAGCAGCCAGAGGCAGCCGTTGCAACATATTTCTGTGTCATATAAGCTTGTTTTTGTTTGCCAGACTTTCAGTTGTAACAATTAAAGGATCAAGTGACTTCTGCCCAGGTGAAGTGTCCTGCTTCCTCTTGCTGAGAAAGTTTCTGAATATGTGGAAGCTGCAAAAAAATACCCACTAATCAATGCCCAAGTCAGTGGGCTCTGTGTAAGTCTCTGACTTTGGAACAGCAAAGTATGCTGTCACAGCAACAGCAGAAGTTAACAAATAAGGCACATGGCTTTGTGGCTTTTGACACGATGTTCTGGCTTGCAGTTGGCTTCTCCTTGCAATTTTTATAGCTGTTCACAAGAGTTTGCTCTGAAAAAGCAGAGTAATCACCATCTTGTCACCACCAGTGGTGTGTAGGAGCCTGGGATCAGAGTAATCATTGCAAAGCCCTCTGCATTGCAGTGTTGTCTAACTTGTCTGTGAGTCACAGCACTTAGTTAAGTCAAAACATTTGAACCTGCCAGTTCTTTTGCGGCTGTTCCATCAAACTGGGCCAGAAGCTCGTTTTCCAAATGACTGTTGGGTTTCTGGGGCCTTGTGCTTACATTCTGGATCCTGAGCAATGGTGTGGTGGTACACCTGAACTCAAGAGCAACAACCACTTTGTGGGTGCCCCTAAGAGTAAATCTGAATGAGAATAGATCAGTAATACCAATGATAGTGTAAACTGGAAACAATAAATGTAAACGTAATTATGAATAACAACTGCAAACAATGCCCCATTCAATATTTAGATCATCTTATTTCATACTATACAGAAAAATAGCACTGGACCTCTCATTACAAAGCACAAAAATGAAAATAGAAATCTTATGTATTAAATTCATATGGAATGCATTTCAATTTAGATGCAAAACCTGTCAGTTACTGTCGTGGTTTAAGCCCAGGCCGTAAGTCAGCCACGCAGCCCTCTTGCTCACTCCCCCCCTTTCTTCCCACTCCCCTCCAGAGGGATGGGGAGGAGAATCAAAACAATGTAACTCCCAAGGGTTGAGATAAGAGCAGTCCAGTAACTAAGGTATAACACAAACCACTGCTGCTACCACCAATAGTAATAATGATAAGGGATATAACAAGGGAAGAGAATACAATACCACCCGTCGATACCCAGGCCGACCAAGCAGTGAACCACCCCTTCCAAGTAACTCTCAGTTACATCTTGGGCATGACGTGCTGTGGTATGGAATACCTCTTTGGTCAGTTTGGGTCAGGTGTCCTGTCTCTGCTTCCTCCCAGCTTCCCCTCCTCCCTGGCAGAGCATGAGACTGAGAAGGTCCTTGGTCAAAGTAAACATTTGCGCAGTAACTAAAAACATTCGGTGTTATCAGTGCTGTTCCCAGGCTGAAAGTAAAAAACACAGCACTGCATCAACTACTAAGGAGGAGAAAAATGACTGCTACTGCTGAACCCAGGACAATTACTAATAGCACTTCCTTGCTTTGGAAAAAGTACTTTAGGTACCTTCTAACCTGCTACAATCTGCTTAATTCTTAAAAATTCAGCACGAAATAAATGCTTTCCTGGCAGTTCTGTCAGGCAAGGATCTGTATTTAGGACAGTGCAATGGCTGTTCTGGAAAGAAAAGAGACCTTACTGGCAGATCTTACTGCCTCATGTTTCTGGCAGCAACCCATAAGCAAAGTCACTCTAACAGTTCTTGACTATTACAACTTGTTCTATTTCCTCTGTCTCACCCAAAAGAAAACTTTGAAAAATAGCAGTTGAGGCAGGTAACACGGAGTCTGTCTGTTGAAATATGCACATGCCCGTGGATTCAGCAATAGAAAAATGTACCTCTTTGGGTCCTTAACAATCCTTAATGAATCAAACCTTGCAGCATTAATGCCTTAAGGAAAGGCAGTCCTTAATTCACAGGGGAGAGAGCTGAAGCCTGAAAGAAGTTTTGGCACACCTGGGACCAGAACACAAAACTCCAGGCTGTTTGCAAGAGTGGCCTTTGTCTAACTTTGTGGAGCTTTTTTGCTACTTGAGTTTTCTGTGCTGACCTTTATTTTATGTGTTACAGTGCAGTAGATAACAGGATGTTTCCTGGTGTGTTTTGCAGGGTTTCTGGAGGAGAACTTTTTGACTTCCTGGCACAGAAGGAATCTTTGAGTGAAGAGGAAGCAACGAGATTCATCAAACAGATTTTAGATGGTGTGAATTACCTTCACTCTAAGAAAATTGCTCACTTCGATTTAAAGGTAAAGATGCTGATTTAGATTTTGTTATTGTTGATGTTTTTTAATGGTGAACTGTACTGTTTTGGATACCTGTATTTGATACCATGCCTAAAATAATGGGTAAGATCATTGTAAATGCACTGCACAGCTGAGTGCTCCAAGGAAGATAACCTCCCTGTAGTAACTTTTGGATGGGCTTGTATATTTACTGACTGGGGAAAAAGAAATTGTGAGTCTTCATCCTTCAACTCTGTGCATTTGTGGGGTCAGCCAAAGCATAGTGTTTAAAAAATAAAAATATTAGCATGATGTACAGAAGAAATGCATTTTTAGGAAGAGGAGCCAGGTCCAGTTGCGAAGAACTGTTGCTGCATCCAGTCCCCGCTGTGTTTAGAATTACATGAGGAGTATGTGTTCTCCTGTGCAGTCTGGTTAATAGAAAGACTTCTTGATTTCTTAGCTGCATAGAGTCTTGAAAGCACATCACACAGAGCTCTTTTCCACCATATCAGGTGTCATCTATAGTTTTGATCCTTGACTTTGGTGTCAGTACAGCTGGCCTAAACAGTACAGAAGACTTCTGCTTTCATTGTGGCCTGCCTAGGTGAACATGCTTCTCTGAAACTAGGAGGCTGTTGTCCTTGGGAATAAAACTCTTGAGACTAGAATAAAATGCTTTTTCAGTAGCAGGCTCACAGCTGCAGAACTGGCTGCCTCAGACATCACTCCTTTCCAGAAATACATTCAAAATGCACTTATCCATAGGGGAAAGTAGAATAAAACAGTTTTATAATGAAGGGAAAAGGAAAAACTCTACTGCTAGATACATGTTCCTTGTCCTGACTTTAAATTCAGGTTATTTATATTAATTATGTGTGTGCTATAGATAAACTCCTCCCAGATTTTCAGGATATATGTGCTCATTCCTTGTGTTAAATGGGTGCCTAATGCTGTCTTTGTCTTAAATTGCTTTGTCTTGAGTCAGTGTTAATGGCAGGTATGTAGTCATTGCAAATATTGCATATCACATCTAACCTAAAAACTGGTTAGCAAACTTCCATCCAAATCTTCATGGGGTGCATGTGAAAAGCATAGGAGATGTGTGAACATATGAAGGATGTGCACTTGATTTTGTAATTACTACATGAATCCAGAAGCCAAGGACTGAAAATGTTTGCTTTGTATTAGAAAACAATGTGGTATCTACAATGAAATTATTGTGAGATTACAGGTGCAACTTTTTTCTCTATACTGATCTCTAGCTGCTCGTTTTGGTATTTAATACCAGTAATGTTAGGTGGTCAGTGAAGATGTAACAAGAAATGCAAGACAGAAATTGGGAAGGATAAGTAAGCAATCATTGCATTGATAGTGAGCATCACAGAATAACTCTCCTGGGTTTTCAAGGACTCTCGGTTTGGAGTTTTGCTTGTGTTAAATTAGACATGTATTTTTAAGCAGGAATCTGATTAGATAGAGAATGATTTATAATTCTCTTGTCACTTGACAGGGCTCCATTGCCTGCAGTGGAGCTCCAGTGACTTACACCACCTAAGGAATAAAACAGTCCAAGAGGTAGTGACTGTGCCTTTTTGCCATTTCAGTCTGTTCTGTCTGCTCTCAATAAGCTTACATCATGTGTCTGGGCAAACACATATGCCCTAGATCCATGGAAGAAAAACTGAATTGTTAGCCTGAGGCTAAAATATTCTTGGTCCAGTGACTATGACAATAAATTATTCATCTGCTCTCTTTCCCAGTGCATCTCTGACTGTGAGCGTGTGTTTGCAGGAGCTGCTTCCACATTAGCATCTGCTGTGAAAAGGCCAGGCAGCTGCCAGCAGGGAATTGAACTGTCTCAGTGTTGCTCTTGAGCTTATGGTTAAGTTATGATAAATGAATGCATTAAAGCTCTTCGTGGGAGATAAATTGAACCCATAGGTTACTCTGAAACCTGTGAAATAGGGCCATGTAGGGAATAACTAAGGCTGAGATATTAGCTGAAGGAATAAGATTATGAAATATCAATTACATCTGGTAAAGAAAGCAAAAGTCTGTGGTTGAAAAAGTTGGCTTTAATTTCACCGTTCAAGCTTCACCTTTTCCCTTCAATGTTGTGAGAAATGCTACATGTTCTATTAACAGTTTGCTGTCATATATGAGCTAGGGCCTCTGATGCCAACTCTTTGTATTTTCGGGACTGTTCAGATAACAAATCCTAGATCTTTCCTGGTTTTGTTCTTGCAGCTTTGAATTTAATCTCGTAGAGAGGAGCATTTTCCTTAAGTAGGTCTAGGTATGAGTAGAATACCTTAAGAAGCATTTAATCAGACCTCTTCCAGTGAGTTACAAAACAGTACAGGGACAACTGGGCAGAATCAGTAACATTGCTGTCAGTCAAAGTACTGAGTGGTGCAGCTCTCCCTCAGGATCCAGTAGTGGCATTCTGGTTCTGCACCACCTGCTTCAGATACCTGCTACCTGCTGTTATGTGTGTGCCAGTTGTTGTAACTGAGGCAGATCAGATCCATGGGGTCAGAGTGTGACATCTTCTCTGCAGGCCAGGGGGATACTTTTCTGTTTTAAAAAGTGACAAGATAAGCTGAGTTTGCGCTTCGTGTTGTATCACAGTGCTGCTGGTCTGATAATCTAGTGGCATATCCTGTTAGATTGGGGAACTACATACAACTGAGTGAAAAACTCCTGTCTCATTGTGGGAACAAGGGTATCTGGTTTTCATCCTGGCAATAGCCATCATTGAGAAAATAAGCTTAGGAGTGCTAACAGGAAGATAAAGGCAGATTTTGCACAAGATAGAGTTAAAGGAATGAAAGTATCACTCTTAGTAGATCTGCTTTGCTTTTATGTAGTTCTGCTCCATTAATTTATGTCCAATTTCAGTTGTCATCCCTTTATCAAATGAATGAATTGTAAATGGTTAGGCACAGGTATGTTTCCTGTTCTACAGTCTTGTGTAAAAAAAAGGCATCTGAGAACTCTGCTATTTTCTCAAGATATTAATATTATAATAACAAAGATCTATCTTTGGTTATTTTTAGCCTGAAAACATTATGCTTCTAGACAAGAATATCCCTATTCCGCACATCAAACTCATTGACTTCGGCCTGGCTCACAAAATAGAAGATGGTGTTGAATTTAAGAACATTTTTGGAACTCCAGAATTTGTGGGTGAGTGACCTGTTCATTTGACATGTATTGCAACTTCCACGAGGAAGTTGAGACTTCTTTCCAAAGTGAAGAAGTGAGGGTGAGAGGAAGTTTCAATCACATTTCTATCAAGGTAGCCTAAAACTAGAGGTTTACTTTATTTTTCTGGACTAGGCAAGAAGTGCTTTCTATAAAGCAGACGTGCTACTTCTGTGAGAGTAGGTTGCTGCCAAATAAATAGAGATGTGAATTCAGGGTTGTGATTGTGAAACCCTGCAAGTAAAAGTTGTAATTCTTTTACTACTGCCTATTTACTAAAGCTCTCTGCATTGCGGTACATGGGGACACAATGACTGGGTATCCCTAGCTTTGCTTCCTGATAAAACTGCCTCACACTGGGTACAAGTACTGGGTACTATTAAGTACAAGCCTCTCACCTCCCCTTACATCTTGCCACCCGATTCTCTTTTTGTCACTCATTGATCATAATTGTCATATATCTTACTTGGATTTTTAGCTTAATCCTACTCCTTTCTACTAGTTTCACTTAGAGATTTTGGAGTTGGCTTGCAGAGGGCAAGGACACATCTGTTATAGATGCCTTTTTTCATCTCATTACCTCACCTTGGTCTTTTCTTTTTCATTCAATCTTATATGTGGATGTTTTTAAATGAGGAAATGGTTTTTGTAATGATAATGGGTTTTGGCACAGATAGCAGTGTAGTCTAGCATGTAGTTTCAATCTCTTGTCTAAGGGCTGTTTCAGGCTGGCCATTAGAAACTAGCTTTAATGGCACCAGTTAAAAACAAGACAAAAGCTCAGATTCTTGAGGGTAACAGTATCCTTGGGAAGCATAATTTGTTTTCATTAGCACTGTAATTAGTATACAACATCTGCTTTACCCTTATACTTGAGTTGCACAATGCTCCAAGTTACTCCACATAATCTCTTGCACACCTGTGAACTTGAATTCCTGTCAGGCCTGTAAAACTCTAGACAGTGCATCCTAGAGCTGCCTTTCTTTTTCCCACCCCCCCCCTTTTCCTTCTTGGCAATTTGGTGGTTTTGAGCTGCTGTTCAGTTCAGCCTGGTAAAAACCTGTTACCTCAGCTGCTGATGTTGAATTGAATTCTTCTTACAGCTCCAGAAATAGTGAACTATGAACCACTGGGACTGGCTGCAGATATGTGGTATGTTTTGAACTTCCCCCACCTTGCTCTACTGTTGTCTGTTCCCAGTTTGCTCTGAACAGAGTCCATTCTACTGCAGCAAATCAAAACCAGAAAAAAAACCCAAACCCTTACGTGCAGTTAATAACTCTTTGTTCTGTCTTTCCATTTGTATGCATTCTCTTAAATGAAGAGATAAGCATTTAATTTCTGCAGTATTACAATGAAAAACTTAACTGATGGCAGTTACAGAGTTAACATTTTACCACTGTCCACTGCAGAGGATGACTCTTGAAAGAAAACATGTTCCTGTCTCACTTGTGACTGCTTTATTTATAAGTCCTGCATGCAGAGGAGACCTGCATATTAATCTGATCTGCTGAGCAGGCAGGCAAAAGAGGTCACCCCAAATAAAACTTCCTTGTTTCTGTTTCTTTGCATTTCTGGTGTGTTCTGTGGTAAATACCTGCTAGAGTAGAAACACATAAAGACTTCAGATACCCACATTACTTGAAGTTGTGTGTTAAATTCATGCTCAACACCCTGAAACACCATTCTTTGGAAGAGATGTGTTTTCTAAAGCTGCTTGTATAGCAGCTACTATTGATTTTTTCATATTGTGTATATTAAGAATACAGGTCATGTAGAACCCTTGCAATTAATCTCCTTTGTTTTTCAGGAGCATAGGAGTCATCACCTACATACTGTGAGTACAGTGGGTTTGTTGTGTAGAAGTGTTCCTAGAGCTCTGTCGCACTAGTATGAAACTGCTCTTCCCTTTAGTCATGTAAGAATGGGGTGGGCAGTAGTTTGTCTGATGGGCAAATGTTATCCTGCAGCCTTTTCAAGTTTAAAATAAAGGGTAAAAGAAGAGGGGCATTCTGAAATGTCTCTAGCATCACTGGGCATTTCTACTTCTTACGGGACCTCATCAGCTCCAAACGGTAGAGGATGGAAAAGCTCAAGTGTATTGGTTGCTCACAGAATGACCACGAGCTATCAGTGTGTGGAGGGAATAGAAAGTGTAATAGTACCATTTACAAGGTGAGATTTCAGGTAAATACAGGGAAGATTTAATTTGCTTGTAAAGACAAATCAGTCCAGGTTACTATGCATAAACGTGGTCACCCATGTTCAAAAGGTGATTTTAAGCTGGGTTGGGAGCGGAGAAGTTGACCATGGGAACTGAGAATTCTTTGTACAGCAGACAAAAGGGCTTGTTAAAACGAGTAAAGCAAAGGCTGGTTGGGAATACTGCTGTAGTCAGCATGAGGGGAAAAAAAGTGTGTCAGCTGGTGATGACTAAATAAAAGTAGGAGATTATGACAAGCTCAGGCTCAAAGAAATGAGGTTCTGTGGGCATCCCAGGGACAAGCCGTCGAGAGAGTTTTAAGGTGGAGCTTGACAACTTGAGAAAGTGCTTGTGTGACAATGGATGCGTGCACTGGAGGGACAGCATTCACTGCTTCAGGTATTCTTTCCTCTGGTTTGATAAGGGAATTACAGAAGTGATCAGCAATTCTTGGACCTAACTGCTTCCATTGAAATCAAGCTGCTGTGACTGCTGGGGAGCAGCGCATGGCAGAAACTGCATGCTTGGAAATGTCTCACCCTGTCATTCCTACCCTGGGCATCTGCTCTTCCTTATAACATTCAGAGGACTAACTTGCCACGTTTAAAGAGGGAGCACTCCAGTGCTTTTGTGATGGGAGGGGTCAGTCTGCATGGTATGCTAAGTACTAGGAATGTGTATGCCTTTAGTATTGCCTGTTGAATTTAAAGCCTTTTGTTCTGAAGAAGTCTGAGTAAATGGGGTGGGTCTAATGATACCACCTACTTTAGCAAACATGGCAGCAAGCAAATGGATGCCATCATCAAGTGCAGAGCTCAAAATGCCTACAAGTCCTTAATTCAGCAACCAGTGGAGTGGTTCCCGGGGTTGTAAGGGCAAAGCCTTGAATACTGAGGTCTGCTGTTAGATATTTACAGGCACTGAGTCAGGGTATGACAAGTCATTTCCATTAGGTGCTCGAATTTGAGAATCTCCTCATTTCGCAGACCTAAAGACTGAGTCCCAAAGAGGCAAATAGAGCACTGTTGGCTTTGGCTTTCAGCAAAGAGCCAGAAGGTGGAATTACAGCTGCTTCATTCCATAGTTTTGGGAAAGGGAATAGAAACTAAGGCTCTAGGGAAGGCTTCCAAACTAAAGCTTGGAACAGTGCCCATGGTCTGTGGTGAGGTGCCTGCTTGTAGCCTTCTTTGTGGCTAACTCAAATGGAACAAAAGCTTAAGAGGTAGAATGTAAAACCCTTTAGGAAGTGAGATTGACTGTTGCTTATGGGGTGACATTTACTCCGTCAAAGAGAACTGGAGGACCTAACTAATGCTGCCTTGCTGTGTAAGCTGCTTTGGCATTGTTGTATGGTTATAGAGGGACAGGAAACAGTCTATGCACTCAAATGTTTATTCTGTGGATAAAACCACATGTGGTAGCTGGGAATGGGGCTGAATGGCCCAGGTGGTCCCGTTAAATTTCTACTTATCCCCAGATTCCCAGTCAGCATGGTGTTTGGCTGGGCAACAAGGTAAAAGGACTGTTGGGCAGGATCATGTAAGCAGGTGGTTTAGTATTCACAACCTCAGTTCAAATCCCAGGAGTTTATTGAAGCCCTGTTCTGAGCCTGCTGCATCCTGGAACTGTGCTGTCAAAGCCAGACATAATAGATAAGCATAATAATAGCCCAGAAGATTTTCAGAGAGGGATGAGGTCAATTTCCTTGGCATAAATAACATTTCCTATCAAGCAGGCTTTTGCCAGTCGGCGTCCCTGTGGGTTGGGGCAGGGAGGAAGGGGAGGACAGGCAGAGTCTACAGTGTATCTGTTCTAACACTTGAGTTTAGTGGAGCAGAGGTATCAAAGGCATCAAAGTTGAAGGTTGTCACTTGCTGTTGAGAGATGGGCAAAGCAGGAGGAAAGCTTTTTCTCGTAAGATGCTGAATAACTTTTTATTATGATGTTGTCTCCATTATATCCTTGCAGTTAGAGCAGAGTGCCAACAGAGTGAAACGTTGCATTGCTCAGAAGTAGGCAAAGTCCTTCTGTTTGTGGATTCCTTTTAATGAGCAGCATGACATTACCTGTCCATCGGACATGTCTCCTAGGAAAGGCCACACACATCCGACTGCCCGTCCCGCATTGTGTTTTGGTTCCAGCTGAGAAAGGTCTCTTGGCTGAACCCACTGTGCAGGGAACTTGTCAGTAGCTTTGCAGACAGAAAAGCAGTAGGGGCAGGACTTTTCCTACCCAAAGAAAATGTATAGAAACAGTACTTTCTCTGTTTGAAGCTGATGGAAGCTTCTGCCTGGTAGTGTTTGTGGGTTCACAGGAATAGAGACTCTCCCCTGCTGAAACTTCTGCTTTGATTGGCAATGACTTCAGTGAGACTCTTGACAGAGGGGAATCTGTGCAGTTTTATCTGTGTGCACACATTAGTGCCATGCTAGAGACTTTCAAGATGAGTCTGATTCATAACCCATAGATGTAGTGAGCCAAAGCTGGACCTGTTATTTCCCATGTAGCATGGCTGCTGCAGAATGAGATCCACAAATGTCCTGAGACTGTATTATGCACTCACTGTAATTTCAATAGGGGACCTCTGCTGTTTATTTTTCCAGCTGATTTTTCTTTCTGGGTTATCTAGCCTCAGTGGTGCTTCGCCTTTCCTTGGAGAAACTAAACAAGAAACACTTGCCAACATCACAGCTGTGAATTATGAATTTGATGAAGAATTTTTCAGCAACACCAGCGACTTGGCAAAAGATTTTATTCAGAAACTCCTGGTGAAAGATACACGGTAAGTGTCAATTCAGGAAGATCCATTTGTCTCCAGGATAAACTTGGTAAAAATAGGTTCTCCTGGCTTTTAATAAAAGCTGTGGAATGGGGAAGTAGTATCTCCTTCCCTATAACCTTCTGTGTCCTGGAGGGAAGTCAGGCTATTGCAGTTCTTTTTAATGGCTTCATTAGGGGAGAAGATAGGTATTCCCCATTGGAATGGGGAAGTAGCATCTCCTTCCCTATAACCTTCTGTGTCCTGGAGGGAAGTCAGGCCATTGCAGTTCCTTTTAATGGCTTCATTAAGGGAGAAGACAGGTATTGGAGTGAAGGAGACAAGTTAGTCAAGATTCCTGCAAATCCTCAAGCCTTAGAATGGGCTGCAGTAGGTGGGGTTGGTGTCAGGTTTGCACAAGTCTAGCAACCTCCCTTTAAGAAAGAACAGGTCCCTGATACTGATTTGTCCCATGTGCCAGAGGCAGTGCTGTGTTTTCTACCTTTGATTCTCAGCGCTCTTAATGTGCTGTTCACCAAACTGCTACAATGCAGAAGGAAGGTAGGATTGCCTAGACTTGAAGTATTGCTCTCAGAAACGTTCCTCTCTGGAAATGGCAGCTCCTGCAGTGATGTAATACTGTGTTCTGAAGGCCAGTTTTGATGTAATTCATGTTGTAAGCCTTGATTCAAACACAGTCATATTCAAGATGTATAGATAGAATTTATTTTCCAAGCATGCAGGATGAACAAAACAAAATCAATGGACTTGTGTACCAGGTGTTTCTCATTCACGTCTGGGGGGGGGGGGGGGTTGTGGTGTTTTTTAGGAAACGACTTACAATTCAGGAAGCTCTGTCTCATCCGTGGATAACGGTAAGTCTGATAGACACACTGTGAGCAAAGCAGGGGTGATGTTCTCACTCTTATTGGTGTGTTAAATGGAAAACTGCCCTCCAGGTGCATAATGAAACTGTGTGTCTCAAAGAAATGCACTGGGAAGAAATTGGTTGCATCTCACTAAGTCCTTGGATTTCTGCAAATGACCTCTTCTTACCAAAACTTTGATGTTTGTTGCACATTCTAGTATATCCTACCTTAAACTGGGGCTTGCATTTTTCCATTCTTCTCAGTTTGCATGGACATATGCGATGTGTTTGGTTTAGTGCTTTCTGGAGTTGAGATTTCACTACACCCAATGTGGAAAATACCATTTCTCTCAAGATCTAACTGCTATACCAAGTGTGCTGGTTTGCTTACCTTTGTGTGTCTGTATGTACTTTTTCATCATAAACATGGCTTGCTTTTGTGGATAAGTCTCTTACTGAAAACACAGCTAATCTCAGCATGACTGGTGAGGATGTTTGAAATGCGCAGACCATTACCTGGAATGTTTTCAGGATTGTTGTTCTTCCTCTTACAAATATTGATGGCTTTGAGACTGTTAACTGCTAAAAATCAACATGAAAGTCAATTGGGGCCCTGTTATTTACACTTATCACATTGGAGTGAATGCGCATCGCTTGTCACATTCAGGTCTGGGTTTGTGTGTTGGTTTGTTTGGTTGTTTTTATCCTTTTACTCAAATGCATGAAGGAAAGCCTGTGGGAGCAGAGGCTCTCCCAGCATTGTGGAAGCTCAGGCTGCATCCGTTGTGTATAGTTTTGAATTGCTGCACTGTCTTGTAAAAGGTCAGTAATACTGGTTCCTCTGTCTGATGGCTCACCAGCTGAAAGAAGAAACAAAAGTCCAAGAAAATAAGAAGGTTGAGAACACGCAGCTGAAGACAAAACGCCTGAGGGAGTACACCATAAAGTGCCATTCGAGTATGCCTCCCAATAACACCTACATCAACTTCGAGCGCTTTGCCCGGGTAGTAGAAGACATTTCACTTACAGAACGGGGGTTCAGCACTTTGGCTGCATCCCATGATTCCTTACAGGAGGACATTGATGCTCTGGTTTCCATTTATAGTGAGAAAGAAGCTTGGTATAAAGAGGAGAATGAAAGCGTGAGGCACAAGCTGTCTCAGCTGAAGTATGAATACCGTAAAATTGAATCCCTGAAAAGGCACCTACAAGATGATATCAAGACTGTAGGCACTAGTCTTACAGGCATAACCGGGAAGTACACTGATCTGCAGAGTCAGTATGAATCTCTCAGTCAAGAACTTTCTGAGGAGCTCAAGTGGATACAGGATTTAATGAGTAATTTTCAACTGGAAAATGAAGCCTGTGTGAATGGAAACTTTGACTCTGTTTTCAACAAAGATATCAATGAATCTCTAAGGGAGCTGTTAAATAGATCTCGCTGTGAGGAATTTCTTGCAGGCTTGAATCTTGAGGTAGCAGCATCACATCAGTGATACTGTAGATCAGTCTAGGTGCAGAGTTTGCTGCCTCTTTCAAAGTACAGCAGCTTAAAAAGTTTTCAGTGCATAGATTTTACACAAAAAACCATGACCTAGATCTGAAACAGAAAATCTCATGTATTGCACGAGGTGCTGACCAAAAGCTTGCAGTGTTCTGTAGTACTGAAGTATTTTTCCTATGTTCAGTGTCTGAACTTATGGGAACTATATCATCACAGTGTTATGGACACATCTAACCCTACAGCCTCTTGCATTGCCTGCATTATACTTCATCATGTATGACAGTTCTTGAAGATTATTGAGTAATTAACATGAAATAAAGAGTAGGTCGGTCGATACTTACTAGAAGCTGGATGCATGGAAACTGATAAAAATCTCCTGTAGCTTCCTTGTTTGTACGAAGGAATGGTCCTGCAGACCTGCTGCGGGCAATTCTACAAACCATATGAGAGAAATATTTGCAAAGGTTAAATCTGTCCCGTACACCAGAGTCAGCAGTGTAGTAACTGAACATTTAGCTAGCGCTGTGGAAATGCTCTGTGAAATGGCTGCTGATGAAGAAAAGTTAAGTTGTTTTTTTTAGGCCAGTTATGCAGGGTGAAACCTTTTTATCATCAAAGATGTTGTTGATTAATCCTTTAGTTTAAAATCCAGCTGACTTTCCTGTTCTGTACCAAAGAAATCCTATTCATGTGACGCAACCGGGGACTTGCGATGAACTGATCAAATAACTGTGTGTGTAATTTCACAGTGCAAATCTTAAGTTGAGAGTGATAAGTGATAACACAAGTACTGGTTTGCTTTCTACAGTAAAGGTGATGACAAAGGTACAACTGATGTCATCTGTGGTGTGGGATTTAAGGCCAGTGTTCTTGCTATGAAAATACCTTTTTTTTTCCTTAAGGTTTAGAAAGTAAAAAACCCAAATTGTCCCAAACTTGAGTCATGCCCGATTGCCTTGTGTTTCAAAGAAGTCCTTTGATTATACTGTATTGATACGCACAGATGTATCCATCTCAGTTTTGGACACAATAAATAGTCACTTATGCAGGATGTACTTGTTCCCTGATGGTGTAGCTAGTGACTGAAGAAGAGGTGTCAAGTTTCTGTGTACTGAAAAGAGTTACCAGCTTTGTTTCTGTGGCTAGTTTACAGCTAGCCCCTGTGCTTAGCTGTATGAGTTCACTGCAAGGTAACAAGGTTTATGCAGCTAGAAGAACTGGTGAGATCGTAGCCAGGCATCACTGCTCAAGTCCATCTAGAGTGGATCTTTATATGCATATTAGAATATCTTTCACTGCCCATCCTCATTCCTCCTTTTCTAGAGAACCTAATAAATTAAATGGAACTGTTGTTGTTCAGAATATTACTAAGAATAATGTTTATTACTTTGATAAAAGTATACTCTCATCCAGTTGGTTTAGAGCATAGTGGTCCACTCACTGCCATGTCCTCATAAAGATGTGCAGAGGCTGGTGAAAATGCAGAGCTCTGAAAACACTTAATTATAGGGGTATTGTAACTCCTGTCATTGTACTCAGTGGAGGATGGAAACTGGATGTGCTCTCTGTGGCATCTTTCTTTGCACAAGATGAAAATTTTCCTAAAGCTTCCAAGTGGTGCAGATAGTCAGGAAATGTCCCTAGCAAGGTGGTGGTGGTGATGGTTGGTGGGAAGTGGGGTCCACTGTGACAAATAGTACTGGGAATTTTACGTATGCCCATTTTTTATTCTTTCAGAACACTTCAGTCATCACTACTATAGTGTTCCTTTGAGCTGGAAGGCCCACAGGATACTGTGCAGGAGAACTGGAACACAGGACTCCTTATCCCTGTTTTATAAGGGAGAGAGTTCTAATTCTTAAAAGTAACTTAAAACTTAGTGAGAGTTCATATCTGCAGCAGAGATCCTCAGGAAAGAAAGTCTGCCTTCCCTCAACTATGATCTCATATTCTCTGTTCGTCTTGATATTCTTTATGAACAAATGTGTTGGCACAATGAGAAGGAACATTAAATGAGGCCACTCTGTTCCTGAGCATGTTTAGGTGAGGTTATTGTTGTGACTCAGTCCTTGAGGCTAATGCTCTGTGAGCTGAAGGAGGTCACTGACATCCTGCTTTTGAGAAGATATTCTGATGATGGGGAAAACAACAGGGTCACTGGTTTGCAGGCCACTTAGAAATTGAGAGGCTGTTATTAAGAGTCTGCAGTAGCTCACTGTAAAGTGGGCTACTTTTGATGCAGCGATTTTGCTGCTGAAAGGGCACTCAGAAATTGTTCATTGTGATTGTACAGCTGACATTTAGCAAATGACATTTTTTCCACTTCAAATTGATTTCTGCTCGGTGTTTTGTTGCACCATGCTAGCCATTTGCAGCATGAGGAAATTACATTTAATGCTTGAATGTCCCAGTTCTGTTGTGTGCAAGCGGTGTATACCTCTACATCAGAAGGAGGCATAATGGATAGCGTGGCTCCTGGAATTTCTGCAGGGATGTCTGCACAAATGCTGTACCTGGAAAGTGAATGTGTTGTCTCATGAACATTATCAATTATTTTGCTGAAAAAAATGTTTAAATCCTTACTGCTGTGATTTCCCTTCTCCTTTGGTGCTCTTGCTTCTGCAGGTGTCTGGCTTGATTGCATTCCAGTCCAGTTCAGTATAAATATTTCTGGTTTATCCACCGCCTACATATGCAGATCAGAACTGCGGGAATGGTTGCCACTCCATAAGCTCCATGGTCTTTGAAGGGTTGATTTCTGGCCTTTCTCTTTTGCCTTTTACCAGGTCTGGTTTTGAACTTTTTTCCCCTCAATCTGTCACATACAGTTTTCTGGTCTATGCAAATTTTGATGTGGTTTTGGAGGTGAAAGGTGCTCTGTTTTCAGAAGGGCTGTGTCAGGGTTTGCAGAACACCTGTTCCTTTACACCAGATGGGCATCCAAACATTTTAGGCACATGTCTGAATTCTGATATGTGTTTTTTTCTTGCCTGTTTTCCATACTCAGGTGTTGCAGTTCTTTCCTCATGTGTTTATTGCCAGGGTACCAATGTCTTGTGCTGTCATACTCTGGGTATGGTTAAAAGACAAAGCCTACATCTTTTCAGTGGTGTGGATCCTCATCACTAGTATGAAATGACAGCTTTTTCCCTTTTCATTACGGTGATGTCAGCAAAACATTGGAGTCAGTTAGATGAAATGCTGTGAAAATGATTAAGGGATGGGACTGTTTGTCAAAAGGGAGAGACTGAGAGAGCTGGGATTGTTCAGTGTCAAAAGGAGAAGGCTTGGGCAGATCTTCTCAATCTGTATAAATATGTGGTGGAATGGAGTAAAGAAAGCAGAGCCAAGCTCTTCTCATGGCGTCCCGTGACAGAACAAGAGGCAATGGGCACCAGCAGGAAGAAATAACATTTAAATATTACAAAGAGCAAACAAACTTGTTACTAAAGGAGCAGTCAAACACTGGAACATGTTCTTAGAGGTGTTACGGAGTCTCTGTCCTTCAACATCCGAGTGAGCTGTGGTGCTGGGCACGCTGCAGTAGCTGACCCTGCCTGAGCAAGGGAGCTGGGCTTGAAGATCTCCAGAGGCCCCTTCCAAACTTAACTGTCCTGTGATTCCTGGCAAGTCCAGTGTTGACAAAAGCTGGTCATGGGTTGCTGTTCTTGGGTCACCTTCTAATTTTGCTTGGGATCTCTAAGTGCAGATTCCTTGCAGTGGCAGGTTACCTGGGCTTCTGATAAGCAGACAAGGTTTCATCGACCAGCTTTGAGAGAGACAAGAAAAAGGCTACTCTGTGGTACCATGTTAATACTTGGGTTATAAAGTACAGCTAGCACCCTCTGGAGTTATTCCCTATTTCACATTCACATGTTCTTTAGAGCTGAAGTGACTGCCTCAAACTTACCTATGTACTTTTGAAATGTCTATAGCACAGTTTTTTTATTCTTTCCTTCTATGATGTTTACCCCAGCCTGGTAAAAGAAAACCTGTCAAAGCACAACTCAGAAAAGATGTGCTAGAAGAGCCAAATCCTGGAAGTGAGGAAAGGGCCCTCATTGATCTTTGGTTTAAAAATATCCTTGTAAAGGGCAAAATGTGAAAACTTTTATCTGAAAATGTAGAAAGTAGCATAGGACCTAACAGTGTGGTGATGCTGGTTTACTTCTATTGTGTCGTGATTTCTAGCAAGCCCCTGCAAACCCCCTGAGCAGCAGTGTGCTGCAGTGCCACTGATATGCTGGCATCTCCTCCTCCTTTCTGTCGAGCCTCTGTGGAACCTGTTCTTTGCTTTCCCAGTGCCTTTCAGAAAGAGAGAGGTGAATAAATGCCAGATGATGTGAGCTCTATCCAGAGAAGGTGGTGCAGGTGTGCACTAAGAGGCACCTCAGCAACTTTACAAAGTGGAAGCACTGCCTTAGCATCCTCTAGCATCCCCTTAGTTATCTCTCTCTCTTGTTTGGCTGTCCTTCCTTCTGTCCTTCAGCTAGAAAAGGTGTTCCCAGACCTTTTGTTTGTTTTTATGTGATCATTATGAAACAGAATATGTAAGTGTAGGTTGAAACAAAGTCCAGGCCATGTGGTACGCCTTTTGTGCCAGGTTACGTGGCTAGAAAGGGGCAGCAGTGGAACTTCTGAGCACAGTTTTGTGCACATGGCCAAGTGTGACCATGGACTGCACTGGCTTTAGGATGTTGTTTGAGATCAGAGGGTACTCTCCAGGCACAAGGTGGACTAGATTTAACTATTTTTCTTCTGCTTTTACCTATATGAACCCACAGCTTCGCCAGCCAGCATTCTTTCACCCAGCTCCAGAGCACATGGAGAATCTTATGTATTTCATGCACCAGCGGGAGCCAGGCAATAAAATTGCTCTCTTATCTTCCAGCCAGTGGACAAGCGACAGGCTTTGGTTCGGCAATCGTCTGTTGTTAACATGGAAAACTTCAAAAGGCAATATGCTAGAAGGCGATGGAAGGTATGACAGTGAGCCTTTAGTCCTTCTCATGTCAGGCTTCCCCAGCCTCATGGAACAGAAGGCAAGATAAAACTTGAATGTAAAATTGTAATGCACAGTAGGTAAATGAAATGTGTTCAGGAATGTCTGTGCTGCATATGTGTGGTCAAGTTCTCATTCTTCCCTCTCTCCATAGCTTTCCTACCGTATTGTCTCATTGTGCAACCAGTTGTCTCGTTCGCTGGTGAAAAAGGTCCTAATAGAAGATGAAAGTATGGTAGGTACATTTCTTGAATGGGGAGAAGGACAAATTTTGCTGAGCAGTGATTTTTACTGTCCTTAAATGGAGGCACAGCCCAACAGGATTGCAGTGTTTTTAAGGGGGAAACCGGATAGGACCGTGGTGTCCATTGTGTGCCTTTAATGCTGCCATAAGTTGTGTTACAGAAATGTTGGGCAGGAAGAGCTGGTAACTATAAACCCTTGAGGTGCTAGCCACATTCATGCTACAGAGGAGCAGCAGGGAGGCTGCAGGTTCTGTTTGGATACCGTAGCAGTGACTGTGCTGTCTGCCTGGGAAGTGAGCAGTGTTGGAGAGAGTCTGCACTGCTGCTCTGATGCCCAGCAGTGTGGTGGAGGATTGGGGACCCCTGCGGTGCATGTGGCCTTCTGAAATTCCTATTAGCTCTACTCTTCTCAAGAGACGATAAGCTAATAATAATATTAGAACATCATGTTTAGCAGCATGGTGTCTCACTGATGTGACTGTGCCTTTCTATTTCAGAGGAACTGTGAAAGTGACAGTGAGGATCTTTCTCAAAGAAAAGCCACTCATCAGAGGAGAAGCAGCATATCATAATGGAAGGAGAGTTTCACGGGCAGGAGACAGAGGAAACTTCCATCCTTGTTGAAAAGAGCAACTCTGACAGCAGACATTGACTTCCTGTCTGAACCCTTGGTATGATGCTTCTCACTTCTCAAACTGCACCAACGGCTGGATGGTATTATTAAATACCTGCTGAGCAGTTTAGAAAGTTGGTGATCCAGATTCCTGAGGAAATGCTGCAGCACAAGCACTGATTGAAGTGCCTTTATATGTTGAATGTTTCAGTGATACTTCAGTCCATTTGGGATATCAACTGCACTCGGGACGTAGGGTTTCTAGTGATATTCTTCAACTGCAGAATCATTCACATTCTGCACAATGATAAAGACTGTGCATTATTATTTCAGTCAGGGAAATTGTTATTGAGTCTTCAGGAAAAAAAATTAATATGGTTTTCATTTGTTAATAGCATAAGGATTTGATGACAGATACCTGTCAGGTTTATTAGCTGTGTGCAGTACTCTGTTACTGCTGCCACTGAAGAAAAAATCATAGTGCCATTACATATCATAACCTTGATTTCATGAACCTAGCAGTAAACAGTTCTGTACTGCAGTAAGAGCTGTACTCTGGCCATCATCTCTGGCTGAAAACTAGCACAACCTGCCATTGTCAATGGGAGTACAGCTGATTCTGGCCGCTGAGCTAGGCCAGGGCAATTTTGGGATGAAAAAGGGAAAAATTTTGTAGTGACTTGCATGCACCCAAATACAGTGTTTTTACAGAACGATGGCAGGATGCTTCACCAAACAGAGCACTTAAAACCCCAAGGTATATGAAGAAATAGTTCTTTTTAGACTTTGTTTTTATTTTATTTTATTATTGGCAAATTAGAGATTCACTAACACCTATTTGTATAGGTGCTGTTTACATGTAACTCAAACTGCAAACAACTGTGTGTTATTCAGGGGGTTGTAGCCACAATTGGGGGAATAAGCACTTTGATATTGATGTAACATCTCTGTGCTAGGAAGTTGCATCGTTTTAACTACATTAGTTTCTAAGCCAGTATTGTTCAATTGGTACCAAAAATGGGTATAGACTAGGGTATATTTTTTTTAATTGAAAATATTAGTTGTTGGAAGTTCATATTTATTTTGCCATTTAATAAATTAAAACTCAGAAAGCAAGCCTACTAGGAACAACTATAGATTGACAAGGAAACTGGACTTTTTGGCTTTAGGGTTGTCACTTCTAGGTCGAGTTTAGAGTGTAAACTGATGTTTAAAACTAGTATCAGGTTAATTCTGCCTGGCTTCCTCTTTCTAAGGAATAAAAGTACACTGCTTTTATTTGTAGCTTTGTATCCTTGCTTAGGCAGAGACTAAAATGAGAAATGAGGTTGATGAGAAGGTATTTCTGTGAAAGGAAGGAAATGAACAAGAAGCATTGGGCGAGGGTGGCTGAAAGTAGGATTTGAGGGAAGAAATAAAATGAAGGAGGTGATGGTGGAGAAAAAGTGGAGAGGAATGAGTAGGAGAGGGACAGGCAGGGAGTGGAGGTGAACCTGGACTGGGAAGGTTGAAGGAAGGGAAAGAGGATGTCGCTATAGGAATTGTGGAAGCAGGAGAATTAATGTTTTGGCAAATATGGCATTGAATTTTGATACTATTTATTTAATTTCCTTTTATTTCGTATCTTGTGCTGCCATAGCCTGTGACATTTGCCTGGTCAAGGGATAAGGAGCAGGGCATAGGCTTCTCTTCACATTCAGTTAGAAGGTGTATTCCTGAGCTTTCTGTGTAATTTCTGGGGCAGAATCCTCAAAAAGTGCTGTTGTAATGTACATACTAAGGGAGCAGTAATGGGAAAAACTATTGTTTCAGTGTCTGGAGGGAATCTTTCCTAAGTAAAACTAAATATGTGTATTTGTATAAAAAGCTGTTCAGCTCACCTACCAAATTTTGCTTCCTGCTCCCCTGTCCCATGCGTTATCATTAGTTCACTCCCTGGGCTATGGAAAACCAACCAAACTTGGAGTGAGTGGCATTTTTCTGGAGTTTCAAAACACCTTCATTTTCTACATTAGAGATTGCAGGTTGTGTATGGAAATCACATTTCTGAAAAGTAAGCCCTGGTTAAAATAGCTGTTGGTTTGTTGTTGCATCTGAATTGTGCTGTCACGGAGATGAGGAAAACCCCAGCAACTATTGAGCAAAATGAAGACAGGCTGAGAAAGCTGGGCTAGTTCTGTCTGGAGAAGGCTCTGGGGAGACCTTAGAGCAGATCCAGTGCCTAAAGGGGCAACAAGAAGCTTGGAGAGGGGCTTTCTGCAGGGACAGGCCAAGGGGAATGGCTTTAACCTGCCAGAGGGGAGACTGAGATGAGCTCTTAGGCAGAAGCTCTTCCCTGGGAGGGTGCTGAGGCGCTGGCACAGGGTGCCCAGAGAAGCTGTGGCTGCCCCATCCCTGGCAGTGTTCAAGGCCAGGTTGGACACAGGGGCTTGGAGCAAGCTGCTCTAGTGGAAGGTGTCCCTGCCCGTGGCAGGGGTTGGAGCTGGGTGAGCTTTAAGGTCCCTTCAACACAAACCACTCTGCGAGTCTATGTTTCTGTGAAGATGGGAGGCAGTGGCAGGGCAGGCAGGGGAGCGCAAGGCAGGGTGAAGTCCAGTTATTAACCGTGTGTTAATAAAACATGTAAAAAAGGGTGTTTTGACGAAGACATCGCAGGCAGCTCACGGTGTTTGCTCCTCAGTCACTTTGCTGCCCAGGTCAGCTCAGGACGCGAGCGCTGGCTCAGCCATGGGGGAGCTGCAGGCTTGGCCTCCCTCTGCAGCACTCGGTCGTCTCGTAGCTCCCCATGACTCCGAGAGATGTGATGTTCATTGCACAAAGGCTGCAAAGAGCAGTGCTGGTGTCAAGCCAGACTCTTCCCTGGCTGTTCCAGACAGCAGCATGTGTGTATAACCTCTTGTTCTCAGGGTTATTTGTTAAGAAGTTTCATGGTGTTTTTCCAAATGTGGTGTTTTCTGTGCTTATCCCTGTTCCATCGGGGCAGAAATGGAGGCAGCTCTGCTCGCTGCTCTGGGGAACACCACCTCGGCACAGGGGTCACTTTCATTCTTTACCATTGGTGTTTTTGGGGGGGCACTTGGCAAGTTCTTTTATTAAGGGGGGGAACCTGAGCATAGAAAGGACTGTGGTGGTGGGAGGGGAGATGTAGTGCGCTTCAATAAACCGGTTTCTGTCACAGAATTTGCTTGAAAAGTCTCCTTTGTGTGCATTTTGAGCAGCGAGGCGCCTGGAGGTATGTGACAGCTTAAACCCGAGCGTTGTTTCCGCAGTGCACGGGGGCTG